ATGTTTTGTACAGATATATGTGTATTTCTACATTATTTGGGATGTCCTATCTTATGATAATATGAATAGCAGATGACATTAAACTAGATGATTATTGTTATTATGCATACAAAGACAAGAGGTGAGTTTGTGTGCATGCTAGCAAACAAATCCCATAAATACGATTTTTGACTGAGACATCAGCCATTTACCCATTTCCTTCTTTCAGTCAGCTAAGTGTACAAGCGAGAAGGAAACAACCGTGAAGTTGAGAAACCAGCAACTGTCAAGTGCAAAATGCTCATCGAAACAGATCATTAACTTTTTTTTTAAAGCAATCATTCTGGTTTCAACAGAACAGAAACAAATTGTTTTGCAAACTGTCAGTCATAACCAGGTGAGTGCAGAGTGAGAAGAGATTCTTCAGTGAATTTGACAAATTAGAAAGGCTTTGAACAAGAAACTGAACATCTCCAACTATGCCCAGCTCTCTACATCCTGCTCAGAAAGTGCTTTCACTGCTTTACAGATGATTGCCAACTTCTTCGAGTTCAGTTCATCTGCCTTTTATTTCACTCACCTTGAATTGCACTTCTCTGTAGTCAGTCTTCATAGCAACATACAGGTCTTATTTGTACTCCTAATGAGAAGCAGGCACAGGAGCAATAACAACATCAGCACCAACTAGAAGGTGACTAGGAAGTGTGAGTGTGAGAAACAGTGATGTTGATTGTGAGGGTGACTTGCCCAGATGTGAGGAGATACCTGGAGAGAGATAAATGAGTACAGTCACAAGGTATGTTCTGAAGAGTGCCAACTGGGAAAATGCTGGAAAATTCACAAGTACCTGAAATTGATATGTCAATAACTCAACTATTGTTGAAAAATTAAATAATATTCAAAGCCTTTTGTCTTTCAATCATCACGACATTTGAATATCAATCTAAATGGGATCAACCATTTATATTGCATGAGAAATGTGTGCTAATTGGTTGGCAAGTCATCTCTGATTGGTAGACACATTGCCATGGAGAATGCACCAATTGGCTGATGACTGGCAGTTAACTGCCAACAAAATCAGAAATTGCTGGAAAATCTCAGCAGGTCTGGCAACACCTGTGGAGAGATATCAGAGTTAATGTTTTGGGTCCAGTGACCCTTCTTCAGAACAGTTCTGAGGAAGGTCACTTGAACCGAAACAATAACTCCAATTTCTCTCCACAGATGCTGCAAGACCTGCTGAGATTTGCTAGCAATTTCTGATTTTTTATTTCAAATTTCCAGCATCCACAGATCTTTTAGTTCTTTTGTCTAGTAGTTAACTGTCAAGCTTTGTTTAAATGTAAACCAGACAGGTTGACTCTGACTTAACTAAGGTCTCTTTTAGGCAAGTATCAAATTCTGTATCCAAGTGACTATTTTGATGCCAATAATCTTCACCAGCCTTCTGAGGTAATTGATTCTTTGAAGGAACTGTCTCCAGTTTGGTGGGACCACAGTCCTGCTGTTGTTTTCATTTACACTTTCATCCATGCCTAATTTATCAACATTGGCCATCAGTCAAGCAGCAGTTTGATTTTAGTGCTTTCATCCATATTTTCATAACTCTGCCCCCTTTTTATCCCTATAATCACCTCTAGCCCACAATCCTCAGAATAATTTACCTCTAGTTCTGTACTCTTCAATATTCCAGATTTTAATTTCTCCACCTTTGGCGGCCGTGTCTTTAGTTACCTAAGACTTAAGTTGTGGAAGTTCCCCTCTGCAGCTCTCTGCTTCTCTGTCCGTATTTCTCTGTGGACAATCTTTAATCAATGCATTTCTTTAAACAGCAGTTGGTCATAGAGAATTGCTGAAAAAAGAGAAATTTTGTTTAAGATTTTTTCATCCTACACTTATCAGGCCAATTCATAAGAATACCAATTCAAGGGGAAAACCAACATTGAAAGAAGAAAATTCAATTTAATTTACTTTCAAGCACCATTGCGAAGAAACCTGATCAGGTTATGCAAGTTTCTTTTGAATATTAGGCAGCAGGATATTTATTACCCACTGTAAGTATTCAATATAAGTTGGACAGAATTTTGTTGTGCTGTTGTGATCTGAAAATTCTAATTTCCTGGTACAATAACGTTTCTAGTGCAAAAACAATCAATTTATGTAGTGCTTTATTCTTGTTCAACACACAAAACACATAGGCACAAGACTTTAGCAGATGGTAAATTTTACTCAGTATTAAGTTGATTTTTTCATGAAAAGAAAAACTACTTGTGCACCTTACTCTTACATTAACAGCACAAATAAGTTAATAAATACAATCATCGCCAGTATTTTACATTACTACCACACACGATGCAAATGTGTGCATTCTTTTATTTAATTGATTGTAAACACATTGTAATGCAACATACAAAACATATTACGTGTACAGATTTACACAGTGTAATTATATATACTGCTGTGACCTAGTAATACTGGAGTTTCTGAGTATGTAAGTTGCAGCACATCAACATTTCAAACCACACAGTTACATCTTTCAAAATTATTCAAAACTATTTTACAAAAATTACAACTGCAATTGCAATGTTTTGAACAGTATTGTGAACTGAAAATAAGACAATGTCAAAATTAATTAATTGTCAGGAATTAAAATATCATACTTCCTAAATGTGAAAACAATTTGAAACAAATTGTATATATGGTTGATGCATAGAATAGATACGTCAATGAATACGAATTTGAAATAGCTCTGCAAATATTCATGGATTCTATTACATGATTTTGGCCATAGTGACATGATACTGTGTTCAGACATTCTTTAATATTTTGCTTGAAAATACTACACTTGGTTTGAATATATTAATTAGACCTTTGCTACAGTTGTGTATTTATTGATGAATCTGTGACTGTTCAAGTAAAAATGCATTAACCCTATCTGACAACCAACAAATAGATAATCATTATTTTGGGGAATGGAAGGAGACTAATGCCGTGGTTTTGTTGCATTCTAAATTGATGTATTAATTTGAAAGCAAAGAAATTACAACAGTAACAGGTATCCTTTAAGCTGCACAAACAGCACCAGAACCATGATTACTACTGTGGCTTCAGGCAGCCTTATCTTTTCCCATGTGGTGACAGTGTCAATCCCCTGCTGCATAGTAATGAACTGGCATGCTAGCATTTCAGCATTTTATATTAAAATGCCAGATGGCTGGAATAAAGTAAAGTTTCTTTCTGAATTGGCCCAGACTCAGTCTGATTTGTTTTGACCATTTAGATCTTGCCAAGCCAAATTCATCTGTGCTAACCATTGTAAACTCACTAACACTTACTCCTATCCTACAAAAGTATATTTTATCTAACATTTCTCCCTATTTTCAATCTAAAAAATGCATATTAATGTTACACTACAGGTCATCCTTTCACAAATAACACCTAATTCCCAAAGTGAGCCGAGCTGGATCTATCCATCAAAAGGTAAGAAATTTGGTCTCTGGCAGTGTGCGTGCCCAAAAGCAGCTTAAAAATATGTTGAGCCCTTTGTTTTAAAAATAAGCATAAAAATATAAATACTAAACATAAAAATATGATGTGAACCATCTATAGTAAACATACATGGCAATATTTGTTATATGGTAACTCAAAATATCATCCATTAAGATTCAAAGTGACTGGATCAATAATGGTACTGAGTGCTCGTTAATGTTTTAAACAATGATTTTTCCTGGAACCATAAGATTCAGTGACAGAAAAATCCAATTCACTAACTGCATTGACACTCAAGATCAAATGGCATTCTCAAAGCTATAATCACTGTCTGGTATTTCTTCTAGCAAATAATGACTTTAATGTCGCATTCTGTTCCTGCATCTTCTAGGGTTGCATCACTGATATGTTTAATTATTAAATATATCACAAGTGCTCCTACACCTGTCACTGAGGTCTATTTTAAAGCAAACATGCATAATAGATGCATGGTTTGCAATACATTTTCAGCATGGTTTACACACAAACTAGATGGTTGTATAATGTAGTTTCTGAGTTGAGCAAAATAAATTCATATTCATGGCAAATTTTTCAACCTGAAGCTATAGAAGATAGGGTAGGCAAAACATACAAGGTTATTCTGTTGTCTTGGCAGCCTACCTATTAAACCAGACCTTTTCCGTTCCTGAAACCTAATTTATTTGACACATAATGGCATTATCTCCAAAGATTATTGGAGATAGTCATGATTCATAACTGGCACCATTATGAAAGCAAAATCATCATGATGTCATCGAAACCAATTCATTATCTATATGATTCACATTTACATTGTGCACATTATATTGTACTTAGCTAATATGGGATGTCAATGAAATTTGTGAAGTTCAGTAGATGTACTCATATATCTACCATTGTGCTGACTATCTTTCCTGCCATTTTGTTACTCATAGGTACTCTTGACGTATAAACCAAATCTCAAGGCTCTGCAACAAGTACTTATTTATTTCACACTAAGATGTAGCATTGGCAAAGGCCTGGAAAAACACATACTAATGTAGTTCAGCTTTATATATTGAACAGTAACTACTGAGAGCTTTTGTGAATTTTACTATTGATTTGCCTGTTTTAGCAGCCTTCTTCAAAATCATCATTGTTTTATTTTAATCATGAAATTGTCTGGGTTGAAAAGTATTTCACAACTTCACAATGTGAATGTTTTAATATGTAACTGTCTTCCAGGTACAGCTTCTGATAAGTAGCATGTACTATTAACATATATAACATCCACAAATGTCAAAATATGCAAATAGCAAAATACTTAACATTATGAGGCTGCGTGTTAAGAAATAACTTTATGACAAGTATGAAATAATATGAATTCTCTCAGTATGGTTAACTGTTATTCAAATTATTACCATTCATACCTCAACTCCATTTTATTAAAAAAAAGGTCCATTCTGGATTTGCATTGATTTTTAATATTAGGAATGGAATATGTTCAATTTGAAGCATGGAACATCAATTTCAAATATTTCTAGGTCAGGTGCAGCATAATTAAATCCCCAATAAAGTTTCCTTAACCCTACCTCTACCTCAAACTTAGGGAAACATCAATTACTGCAAAAATATAATACATCTCCTTTGCCAATGCCAATGACATATCCAGTGATTCCTATTGCCTGTCCAAATAATGCTGACAATTTAGTTTCAACCAATGCCAAATTAGAAACTGTATTATACTTTGGGCCCTTGTTGACTGGAAAGTAAGTTCCTTCAATGTAAGTTATTTTTTGTTTCCCAATAGAAGGAAGTTTCATTAAATAAATGTAGACTACAGCGAACCCAGTTATTAAAAAGCCAACATCAAACTCATTGTGCCATCACTGTGTCTCTCCACTTCAATATATTTCAATGTTAAGGCAACACATGACCTGTTAATTTCTTTTAGTTTCTCAAGCTATGAACATTAGAATGGCTTTTCTTCAGATATTTTCAGTTCATTCAATGTGTTACAGGTTTCCATTGAAAAACCTTCCCATGAATTCTACTTTTTTCATCAAACATACACACTAATAGCTTCATCACCAGAAACAAATTCCCCAACTCGAACAGCCACACAAAATGCAGAAATACATTAAACAGTTTTATTTTGCCTACCCATTCTAATAGCTACCTTTTTTCTGAAAATTGTTAGCAAACAAGAGAACAACGCCACCTCATCTTATACAGTACAGATCACAATATATACCACAATCAGATGTACAAATTATATGTATTTAGTATAAATTGAAAATGTTTCAGAAAGGCTTTGGGTTGGTTAATGCACAGCTTGTTCCTTCCTTATCAAACAGTAAAGTCCAACCCGTGGTTTGACTGCTAACCATCACTAAGACAATGCCATTTGGCAATTTGTCGTCTTGGGTGCTCACAGATCTCCCTCCAATGCTCTCCTACTGTCCCTTCTGCTGATGCTCCCAGCACTAGGCGCCCGATGATCTCATTCTTCATCATTCTGTCAAAATCGATGACCATAAACTCAACACTGATGTTTTCAATCCCCTCACATGGAATGTCAAAGACAAACAGCTCATTGAACACTGGGTTGAGAGTACACTTCTTAACATGGGTTTTTTTCTTTGATATTCGCTTCTTATCATGGTACAGGTTGACTTTCACATAAGGGTCAGCAGCTGGAAGGAAAGCAAGACATACAGTTCTTCAACTGTTTCGAACTTTTTACTTGAAATTATTCATTTTTAACCATATCTGGTTCAAACTGCACTTGCTTATTTTAGACAGAATATAAAAGTACTCATAAAATCAAAATATATTAATCCTACAAATTTAAATTATTAGACATCTGGAAAGAGAACACATTTTGATTTAGCTGAAGACAATAATAGATGCAATGATATGAACAGGGCAGACACAAGAGTACATGGACACAGAAATAGATTGATTGATCCCAATCTAAATTGGTTTCACTCCAGATATATTAGTACTGGTTAACCTGTTTGGATAATTACCTGATAATCCAGTAACATCGTTTTTAGGCAGATGGCGGGCTTTTAATACAACAACAGTCAGGGTGTTTGTGGTAGATTGATAGCAAAGGGATACTAATAATTCACCACGGCCCACAGATTTCTGTGAATGCACAAAAGAAAACACATGAATAGATTTCAGAGGCATGCTGTTATCACTGCACAGGAGATCCTCTCACTGCCCTTTCTAATGACACCATCACTGCAGGAGAAAAAAAAGATGATCCAACATCTGTCTGTTGCCTTGACATCCATTATTAACATAATAGACTATATTTTAAACCCTCCTTACTGATCAACCTTGCTGTTCATAACATTTTCATCTAGTATTATTGAACCTGTGACTATCAGTAATCTATTATTATCTTACACATCAAATATTAGTCATATTTTGCCTTGACAAATTTTGTGGATAGTGGTACATTGGTATCATTTTATGTACTGCCATTAGGTTTGAATTTGCCTTACAATACTATAAAATGACTAATCCTTTTATTGTCCACTGAAAAGCATGCAGGAGTTACTCTCTTTCCTCCCGATGAGACAACTACACTGTTTATCAGAATAGTGCTAAACTTAAGGTCGGTATATTCTGCTGATTAAATCTAAGATTGGATGAGATCAATGGGGGACGGGGAGTTTCTTGGAACATAACGTTAGCAAAGATTAAATGGACCGAATAGCCTATTTCTGTCCAGTGTAGTTATTCGCAATGAATTTTGATGTGCCTTTTATTTATGAAGTAAAAATGAACTTGTCAGTTCGATTGTTGGTACATTTATTAATTGAGCATTTCATTGCAGCCCATGTTTCCAAATGTTTTTATTTAACATGAATGAAACGCCTATCCAATTCACACCTATACTTTCTCTCCCCTTTAAAGACGAAATATTAAACTGTACATTACTGCACATTCTCTCCTGAAACAAAACTCGATAGATGTAATTCTATAATTTAGATTTGACCAAAATCTAATGTATTTGTGTGTGGGTTTCTTTTCGTTGCTGTTCGCCTCGTTTGGGTTTCCACGTCAATCTTTTGAAAATGCTACTCTCTCGTGTATGTATCACACGCGAGACTTCCCTCGGGCGTTTACCTAAACTGTCCCTTTTCCCCATCAATGACTGCTGAGTTCTGTTTTCACAAAACCCCACACTTTCACGTCTGTACTGCGGGCAGCAGCAACACAGCACAAGAACTACCCTCCCTGCCCAAAAAGGACGACTTTTCAAACATTTACCCGACAGTTTCTCTTGGTGATGTCCCTGTGCATCTGCACTTTGCCTTCCGATAGATCGATCCCTGACATTGGCACCAGGACTTCTCCAATGACATCGTCTCTGGAAAAGCGGTCAAAGCTCAGCACCAGGAAATGCAGAGACAGCTCTTGTACCTGATTGTAGGGGATCCCGTAAAACGTGAAGGTTTCCTCAAAAGCCGGGTCCAGGGTTTTCCGGAGGACGCGAGTTTTCACGCGATGCTTTTTGTCCGGCAGGATTGACATTTTAATGTAAGGGTCAGATGTCATTGATTGTTCATCCATCGCAGGCAGCCCGTGAGCCTCTATAATGTTCACAAGTAACGCTTTCTTATCAAAGTTGTACTTTAAGGAGAACGTCAGGGATCCCAGGTTAGGCGCATTGTTTAGTTGTTCAGAAGGTGCGGTCGGCTTGTCTGATACAGGAGTCTGCGATGTCACACTGTCTTTCTCGCTGTCCGTGCACGGCTTGGGCGGGACGTTCTCGATTTCTGGGGAGCTGCGGACTTTGGCAGGAGTTTTGGTGAAATTTCCGTTCTGATCACGGTTCTCCAGGTCTAGATGGAGAGAGTTCTTTGGTATTTTGGCTTTGGAAGAGTCTTTATCTTTGTTATCGGATTTCTCATCTGCCCCGAACTTCTTTTTGTTGCTTAGGTTCTCAGGATAGATGTCGACTCCCTTCAGCATGTGCACAAATTTATAAGGAGGGGTTTTGGTGGCTTTTGACGACTTGCGCTGACAGCAGATCCATGCAAACATGGACACTGTAAATATCAGGCCAAACGCACTGACTATCCCTACAACTGCCGGCACTTCATCTAGAGAGGGGGAAACACACACACACACAGATTCAGTGGCATTCTGAATCCCGTTACAGCGAAAGGGGCATTTTACAAACTTCAACGTTCGACTCATTAAAGCCGCCATCTCAGAGCGAACCTGCCAAATATTTCCGATTTGCATGATGCTTCCTTACATTGCAGTCCAAAGGAGCAAATTGCATTCATTGTTATTATTATATGATTAGTGCAGAATACTGGGAATGGGTAGTTATGCTGTGATTCGTCGCTTTTTAATTAAAAGTGTAAAAATGTGCCTCTAAAGCACTTCTAGATAAGGCAATTCATATCAATAACGTCTCCCCACATTGTCCTGTCAATGGAACTGAAAAACAGCGCCAGTTCCGGTTAATGCCTAATTAACAAGACGAATCGGTGTGAATCCGATAAGCTAGACTCCAATTGCTGCCAACACTGCACCTCCCCCCTTCGCCCACCCTCAGAACTGCGTTAACCAAAGAGGCGAATTACAGAAAAAAAAAATTTAAAAGATTCAAACTAAGCGGACGCACAGAAGGCACGAAAAACCAACAGAAGTGAACGGGCGATCGAGAAAGGCAGCAATGAGAAACAATTAGACAACTTTGAAAGATAAGGGGGAAAAGAGAACTGAGAGATAAATGCGCAATAGGTGTTTGCGAACCCAAACACACAAGTGAGGTGCAAGAATGGAGCATAGGTCTCAAATCCAGAATGTGCTTCCCCAATTTTAAATATAATTTACCATTTCTACATTTTCACGGGCCAAGTGCTATGTATCAGATTGGCTTGACTGAACCAGAAGAGGAGGCATGCACTGAGCATAAGAGGCAAAGGTTCCACTGCGCTGGAAAGATCAGTAGGTACGGAAGTGACAGCAGTGCTATGTAGAACAAGAAAGATTTGTCAAGAAGCACCCGCGCGAGGATGCGACCTTACCAAAGCTGGCCCCGCTCACCACAATCGGAGCCATGGCGATCTGTGCTGTCCGCGGTGCTGAAACGCACCAGCTCTCACGGTAACGCACTTCCTTCTGGTTCCCTCCACTCAGATTGATGACCCCGTTTTACACGTGTATTTTTTTTTGGAAGAAAAAAAACAATTAAAAAGAAAGCAATATCCTGTAAAGAGCTGGGAGACGGCTGTGTAGGGTGTTGGAGTGGGGTTTGTGTGGAGTGCTGAGGCTCTGATTCTGCCTCTGACTGCTGCAGCTCTGACTCTCACAAACACTGTAGACGTGGAGAACTGGATGACGTCTTTCTGACGAAGCCTTTCACTGAGCTGCTCCCAGAGCTATTTAAATTCCAACCATCAGTTAATGTTAAATGGCTGGAGTCTGAATGCTATCGGCTCGGAGGACAGAGGAGCGTTTTCTTGTTGTTGTTGCGTGGATGGATGTCTGACGGTGAGGGAGAATAGCGCCAGGGAGGAGGTGGGAGAGGCTGACACACATACACAAACACACGCACACACAGACCAGAGCTGCAAGCATGGTGTCTGCATTAAAGAGACTTCTCCCTGACTTTGCCGGGGCGAGACTGTTTAGCGAGCAGAATTATACAACGCCACTGGCGCATTTCAGGTGAATGGCGCCTGATTCCAGTCCCCCCCTTCGCAATTACTGTTAAAGTTTTCTCTCTTGCTTTAAACTAAATTATCAATAGATCTGCGCTAGGATTCCGAGACAAATTCCGGATGTTATGAAGTCTCTTAAAGCGCTGTAACCTCCCATCCCACTCACTACTCCGCACCCACGCTCGCATAATTTAGCATTTTACAACCGAGCGGGGAACAAGGATGGACATTAATTATTGCCACTTCCTCGGAGAGAAGGCAAACGCACACCATCTGCTGCTTGAAGGGATTCAAGACTTGCAATGAGTCAGAGAGTCCATTGGCTCTGCGATCATTCATAGAGTCAGCAGCCACAAACCTAGCGCTTTATTACGCACATCTGACTTCAGCACTGCAGTACATGATGTGTCCCTCTTACGGATCTTAAAATATTTCACGTGCTCTACCAGGCTTAACACAATCTCTAGTTTCCGCCAGTCCTTACATTTTGTTTTGTGGGAAGAAAATAATAAAGTAGTCTGTATTAAACTCCAAACCATACATCATTTCGAATTAAGGTTGCAAATATACAGAAGAAACTATATGCTTCAGTTACTACAGCAGGTTGGGTGTAAATTTGTCTTTAGTTGTTAAATGACCTCAAAATGCAGTGAAGATCACAAAGTGACAAAGAGCTGAATCTTGGTGGAACTGGAGAGAACCTCTCCCAGTGCTGCATCAGTAATGTAATCACAAACCGCAGCACGTCACGCCCAAGTGCAAATCCAGTAGACAGTAATAGATTACTCCCCTACACCAGAGCAAGCTAGAAAAAAAGAATAATTTAAGAACAATTTTATTGCTCTTTTTCTAAGAAAAAGAACATTTCAGACAGTTTAAAACACAATTCAAATTCAGAAACCACATAAGAAATAATCAGTAACAACCCAAGAGCAGGGGCAGGCCATTTGACATTTTGAACCCTGTCATTCTAGCAGATCATGGCGGATGCCTTACCTCAACTCAAATTTCTATCACAAATCCCAAATCCCTGACTTCATTTGGTAGTTAAAAAAAAAATCGACCTCTGTTTTGAATATACTCAATAACTGAGAGCAGGGCTTTCAGGAGTAGACTTCCAAGGATTCATAAGCCTGGAAAAAAAATCACGTTGTCTTAGTTTTAAATAGTCAACTCCCTATTCTTTAGCTGTAACCTAGATATTCTATATTTTCCATTTGGGAAAACATTTTCTCAACGTTTTACCTGCCCTCACGAATATTATTTTTTTCAATGAAATCACCTCTTGTTCTGCTAAACTCCAGGGAATATAAGCCTTTTCTAATCATTCTCTCTTCACAGAACAGTCCCCTCACCCACATTGAACCTCTGTTACAATGCCTTGAGAGCAAATATTTCCTTCTTTTTTTTAAGGAGATCAAAGGTAAGCACAATGCTCCAAGTGTGGCCTTATCAATAGCCACTGAAGGAAAACTTATTTACTCTTATGCTCCAGTCTCCTTGTAACAAAAGCTAACATAACATCACAGATTCTGTCTCATTGCTTACTGTACCTGCATGTTAAGAGTTTGATAGTAAATGATCCAGATTTTATTTATTTCCTTGAATTTAAACTTCCCAGTTGTTATGGTGGTATTTGACTTCATGCATTCAGAACACTAACCTAGGGATTAATGGATTACGTTTTGCTATTAGAACTATGATGTTACTGTTCCATTAATGTCCAGTGAAGTCTTTACTCATTTTTTCCCCCTTTATTCTTTGATTGAATGTGAGTGTTGCTGATAAAACCAGCTTCATAGAATCCCTACAGCATGGAAGCGGGACATTCAGCTCATCGAGTCTACACTGACACTCTGGAGACAGTCCCACCCAGACCCATCCTCCTTTAATCCTGCATTTCCTATGGCCAATCCACCTAGCCAGCACATCCCTCCACCCTATGGGCAATTTCTTAATGCCAATCCACCTAGTCAGCACATCACTGGACCCTATGGGCAATTTCCCACGGCCAATCCACCTAGTAAGCACATCTTTTGACTTGGGGGGGGGGAAATCAGAGTACCTGAAGGAAACCCATATGGATACAGGGAGAACATGTGAACTGCACATGGACAGTCACCCAAGCGTGGAATTGAACTCAGGCCCCTGGCACTGTGAAGCAGCAGTCCTAACCATTGAGTCAATCATGTTTCTGTGGTCTAGAGTCACTTGTGGACAAACCAGATACTCGTAAATCAGGTGAGTGCTTATTACAATTTCCCAGTCATCATTTCTGAGACCAGCTTTCAATATTTCAATTAAATTTACATTCCACCAGATGCTATGATGAGATTTGAACACACGTCTGTAAAGCATTATACTGGGTTCTGGATAACTAAACTAGTCACATAACAACTAAACCACAATCTCTCTGATGTTGAATCTAAAATTAACTTTGCATTATCTAAAAATAAAGTATCAGTGGATTACAAATATCAGAAATAAAGGTTCAATCCTATTACATTGAACACCAATGTTACAGATGCTTTCAGGTGGTAGTGTTCCCATGTACTTGGTGTTTTCAAGTATTCTAGAAGTCATGATTTACAAGAATGTTCAGGCAGAAGTGCTGAGGAAATGAACCATCCTGGCATCCTCCAAAGGTTCCTACCATCAGAGATCTGAGTCTTCAGTGAATTAAATTCGCACCACATGATATCAAGAACTGGTTAGAATCACTGGACACTGCAAAGGCTATGACATTGTTACAGCAACAGTACTGAAGACTTGTGCTCCAGATCTTGTTACCACTCTAGCCAAGCCGTTCCAACACAGCTACAACACTGGCATCTACCAAACAATCTGGAAAATTGCCATAGGTGCTCTGTACAAAATAAAACCGAACAAATCTAACCTGGTCAATTACCGCATCAGTCTGCTCTCAATCATCAGTAAGATGCTACCAAGCAGCACATACATAGCAATAGCTTGCTTATTGAGGCTCAGTTTAGGTTCCACCAGCAGCTCCTGACCTCATTTCAACCTTCATTCAAATATGGACAAAAGAGTTGAATTTCAGAGGTGAGGTGAGAGTGACTCCCTTGACATCAAGGCTGGATTTTATTGAGTGAGAGATCAAGGAGTCACAACAAAACTGGAGTCAATCCAATCTGGGGAAAACTCTCTACTGGTTGGAGTCATATCTGGCACAAAAGAAGATAGTTGCAGTGGTTGGAGGTCAGTCATTTTAGCACCAGGACATCTCTACAGGAGTTCCTCAGGATAGTGTCCTAAGCCCAACCATCTTCAGCACTTTCATCAATGACCTTCCCTCCATCATAAAGGTCAGAAGGAGAGATGTTAACTGATGATTGCATGATGTTCAGAATCATTTGCAAATCCTCAGATACTGAAACAGTTTATGTCCAAATGCCACCTGGAGTGGACAATATCCAGATCTGGGCTGACATGTGGCAAGTAAAGTTCACACAACAAAGTATGGGCAACAACCATTTCCAACAAGAGAGAATCCAATAGAAGACATTTGACATTCAATTATATCTGTTTTCTTACACAGGGAGTGGTAGGATTCTGGAAAGCACTACCAGGGGTGGTGGAGGAGGCGGATATGATGGGGTGGTTAAGGGTCTCAGATAGGCACATGAATATTTTAGAAATGGAGGGATATGGACCAAGGGCAGGCAGAAGGGATTAGTTTAATTTGGCGTCATGTTCGGCACAACATCATGGGCTGAAGGGCCTGTTTTGGTGCTGTACTGTTGTATGTTCTATGTGTTCTATCACTGAAACCCCGTCTAGCAGCATTCTTGGGGTTTCAATTGACCAGAAACTGAACTGGACTCGTCATAATATGTACTGTGGCTAGAAGAGCAGGTCAGGGGTAGGAATCTTGCAGCAAGTCACTCACTGCTTGACTCCCCAAAGCCTCTTCACCATCTTCAAGACACAAGTCAGGAGTGTGATTGAATACTTCCCACCTTCCAGGATGAGTGCAGCTCCATCAATACTGAAGAAGGTTGATGTCATCCAGAACAAGACAGCCTGACTTGATTGCAACTACATCCACATCCACATCCACTTCCTCCACCACCAATGCTCAGGAGCATCAGGGTGTACTATCTACAGGATTCACTGCAGAAATTTACCAAAGCACCTAAGACAACACCTTCCCAACCCATGACATCTTCCATCTAGCAGTCAAGTGCAAATTTCCTTCCAAGCCATTCACTATCCTGACTTGGAAATGAATTACTGTTCTTTCAGTTTCATTGGGTCAAAATCCTGGATTTCCCTCCCTAATGACATCGTGGATCCATTTAAAGCACAAGGACTTCAAAGGTTCAAGAAGGCAGCTCACCACAACATTCTCAAGGGCAATTATAGTTGGCCAATTGAAAAGATAAGATTAAATAATACAGCTCTCTACATAACAGCTTTGTGGAAGTGCTTTCACCACATA